AAGCCAAAACAGAACTTTCCCTTGTTTACACCACCTTGCAAGGGGGTCTGTTTGCCTTTTGTCAAATCCTTATCTCACTTTTATAGCAAGTAGTCTAATCACTAAAAATTGAAATCAGAAAGCCTGCTCAGCAGATGGTTTGTTATGCGCTTAATGGCGTGGGGGTGCGGAGCCGCGAGAAAGAGTGGGAGGCCTGGGGTGTAAAATAATTGGAGCTCGATGGGAACTTTGCATGACATCCCAAGAACGACTGAGAGGGAGACAGGGTTTAAATTTAAGAGGCCAAAAAAATCACTAAGATAAATACGAGTCACTCGATGTCCAGAATCAGTTGTACGATTAAATGTTAATACTATATGTCAGGCATATAGGTGAGTGACTCGCAGAAACGTTTCAGACGAATTTGCAGAGCTCTGGTCAGGCAATCGATAATTTTGCTGGTTTATGTCATCAGATTTTGCTATCAACTTTCATCTGTAAGTCATGGATTATTATTGCAAAGCTGAGCTTTATGAATTATTACCTGCTTATTTTCAGCTGCCAACATTCCGACCGAAAGAAGAGAATCCATCAAAAAATGTAAGGAAAGTTTGATCGAGTACATAATGAATTGTTTGCTCGGCAACTTTGAACATTCATCAGAATGTGAAAACGACTAACTTGGAAGTCACTCAGTTTCCTCTAATTATAAGGCCGCTTTTCTTTCGCTCTGTGAAAATCAACTGCCTTCAGAGTGAAACTGAGCCAGTAAGGTCTCACACTCACTATTACACCCAAACCCCAAGTTGTAATTCATTTTATCATCCTGTTGCCGATCTGCGCCTGTCAGTCTGAAAAAAGCTAAGATTAAAGCCACTTCATAACACAGAAAAGCTAAATATCCTGCGTTTGTTCTACCAGGTGGCAAATTCAAACCAATAGGTAAAGCTTTGATACGACTGTTCTCTCTTAGTGAAACAGAAAAGAGTTGGCACAAACTTTGACGCAATATTTATGAACAGGGATCGATGGAGGGCGTGAAGATTTGGCACCCAGGAGACTGCTGGCATAAGGTAAGTGTAACCGCGAAGAATAGTTACGCTTGTCACTTAAAAGTTGCCTTTTCCCAGCTTAAATAATAATAATAATAATAATAAAAACAGGTGACTAAGTTAAACGTCAATGGCTATAGACTGTTGTTCAGGTTCTCAAAGAAATTAGCAGTGTTGTCTGTTATTCAATGATTTAGTTCTGTTAAGTTTTCTCTCTTTGAGTTAACTCCATAAGGTAACGATAGGTGTTTAATAATTCGTTACTCAAGTGAATTACAAAGTAATTCTTTGCAAGATTTCAATCGGAAAACATAAAAAAGGCATTGAAAATTAAAATGTTAAAAGAGGGTTGCTCAGGGAGAATGAAGATTTACGAGGATTCCACGGACGAACTTGAATCTCAAAAATTTAGGTAGCCTATTTAAAAAACTTTTTTCTGTTTCCTATTTCAGGTATTTACACCAAACAAAGCAAGTAGTTAGAAGAAGGGACGTGTAAAGATTTTTCTGTATTCATTGCAATTGTTAACGTAATAAAGACTGATTTCTGATCAAAAATCGTTTTCTTTGACTGAGAGATGCTAATTTTAGGGGGGGAGAGAAGGTTTAAGAAGCGATGTTATTTTATATTTGCTATTTAAAATAACGCTAAGGCAAGTTCAGATTCCAGAGAGTAACTTAAACCTTTGAAAGTTGTCCTAAAAAATACGATTCAAGTTTTGCTTAGCAAACCAGCCTTCACCTTAGTGACGCATAACAATCCTGGTTACCTTTCTCCCATGTCATGGCAATATATTTGAACAAAAACAGCTACACATAAGGCTCGCCTCACTCGGTTTTTAGTTCACCGAGTGAATGACAAATATAAATAAGATGTGAATAATGAATATTTGGGTTTCAAAACTTCGGCGGACTATTTAATATTATTACTGGCATTCACTGTTTGGAAAAGCTTTCAGTTGATCATTAAGTCACTTGAGCAACGTCCTTAAAGAAATAAAACAAATTCCGCCGGAACAACAAAAGGGACAAAATTGAGAGAGAAAGTATACAACAAGATTACGTTTAAGGGGGAATTCGCACGATCGATGTCGGTCTAAAGATCCAGAGTATAAGACTTGCCAAGATTCCAAGACTCCTAAAGCCCGACATTCGCAACGAGAAATCTATACCAGATTTTTTCTTTAGAAAACTTAAAACTTAGTTCTCAAAATTACTAGTCTTCTTCAAGGCTATCCTAATGTTTTTCCCTGACATTATATTTATTTTTAATTATGCACAGGGATAGAAAACAATCCTTTTAACAATAAAGATGTTTTAATAGGAGGGAAACCCTTCTTTCTACGGGAATGGTTTTCCAAAGTAATCATTTATATTTAAGACCTTCTTATCAAAAGTGGCAGCCTCACTCCTTTACAGAATTCCAAAAGAAATATGACTGTAGAACCAAATTCCTTAATTTATTCAACGGCACTCACAATGCCTTCGGCGAATAATTGTTAAGTATTGCCTCCACTAATCTGCTTGATGTTGTATTGCTATTGCAAAGAGAAATTCTGTCTTGGTCACTCACAGGAGTAAAGGGTTCATGGGATGTATGTTTCGGAAAATAAAGTGTTTTTATTTCCGTTATTTATTAACGTATAAGAAATTTTGTCGCTAAAAGCAGACTGAATTTCAAAAAGTAACCCAACCCTTTGAAAATAATAAACCGTACTGAAAATTCAATCAAAGACGCCGGCATTTTAAATTTTCTTAATTTCCTGTCTTTATTCTCTTGATCCAATGATGCTGTGAGCCTCATTAATTATCTATAATCATTCATGACCTTCATAAAATCCTGCTGTTCTCTCTCTGCATTACATCGAGTATGTCAGTCGCTTCGACATTCACATTTTGGTACACCAACAATTAAATTAGTATGTATTGTAAATTAATCGTAAAAATCGCGTACTTTTTTTTTTTTATTACCCTGTTCAGTCATTGTTAACACCTTGTCAGTAAAGATAATGTAACTTTCCATACCTGTCAGGAGAACTTACTTTTTTCACCTGCATGTGTGGATGGTGTTATCAAATTTAATGCAATGCATTTGCAAAGTATACAATGCAATGATCATTTTGTAAGGCATATCTTGGCTTTCAAATACCTACTTTGAGAATCCTTCGGAGGACAAAGTCTGAAATTTTCAAAACGCAAAGAATGTCGGCTGTTGTTAAAGATAATTAAATATTCTAACTATTTCTGTTTCTCTCATTCATAAACAAATAAGGAAAGTTTTCCTTGCACTTTTCCTTCTTCAGAAGAGCAAAGACTCTGAAAAACAACAACTTCATTTGAGTGCGAAAGGTTTGATGAAAGCTGGGTTTCGGACGCATGTCCTTGAAAACTGGTGAAGAACGAAGATCAGTCAGTTGAAACAATACTAATAGTTCAAAGATTGTTATTTCATACAAGGAAGAAACTTTGTCGTTGTAAGCTGTAACAAATATTTATACGTCTCCATGAATGGTGTATTTCAGCGTGGCGATGTAATCATTTACCTCAGAAACTTTCCAAGTTGAGATTTACGATAAACGATGGCATACAAGAATTTTAGCCAGTTGTTGAGAGAAAAGGTGACACGGTGATACCAAAGCAGTTATAGCAAGCCCGCTAAAATATTTAACCCTTTAACTCCCATGAGTGACCAAGACAGAATTTTTCCTCACAATATCAATACAAAATCAGGAAGACAAGTGATGAGAACCAAGAAAAGTATCAATTAAGGGATTATTAGTTGATCCAATACCAAACTCTCAGAAGTAACATCAGAAGAATTGTACAGCAGACAGTAAGGAGAATTACTAATGAGATCTTAGGAGTAAAAGGGTTAAAATATTGCCGCTAGCAGGCTGCAATATTAAAAAAATTGCAGTGCAGCCAGCCCACTGCAATATTGAGCGTCTTAGCTAGTTTAAGACTACCCCTAATGTTTTCCATCATGATAAATTAAAAAGGGGCTTTTCCATTTTCCTCAGAAACTTGGACCAGACTGAAACTGTATACCTTCTCGGGCTAAAATCGCCGACATAAAGCAAAAAGAGAACGTTAGGATATTATGGGGTCAGCAATTATCTGACTTGAATGGACGTTTTTGGCGACCATCCCACTTCCGCGCGACTATGACTCGTGTTTCGCCTTTACAAAGCCTTTAACACTCCTTATTTGTTAGTTTGATCATCGGAATGGGCTGTTTTAAACGTTTTCTGTTGGCTCGCTGCGACACCTATTTGCTTGAGTTTCTCTTAGAGTCTCGTTTTACACATGCTTTTAGCCTATGAACTTAGGTGCTCTGTATCGTGACAATGTATGTCATGGAATGACATACATTGACAGACATAATCTTTAATTGCGACAATTGATTGACTCGTGTCTTCTCCCTGCTCTTTAAATACAATGTCTACAGTGCCAGCAGGAGGTGAGCCAGACAAACTGCGATAGCAAGAGAGTTTTACAGCGATAAAACGCTTAAATCTCCTGGTTAAAAAAAGAACAAGAAGAAGTTTGAGACAGTTTTGTGACAGTCTTGCAAGCTATGGGTGAAGGGTACCTTTTGGTGCAGCTCTTTTTTGTTCCAAGAGATGGTCAAGAGATGGGAGAAAGGCGAGTAGGTCTTATTTTTTGCGTCACATGTAAGCAGACGGGTTGCTGAGCGAAATTATTCAAAATGGCGGCGTCTGTAATCGAGTTTGCAGCACATGTTGAGACAATTTTCAAAGCTTTAGGTTAACCTTTCCAATTTCATAATGCATGGGTGTTTATTTCTCGAGTTCTTCAAGAACTCGAGATGGTTATATGGTTTATATCTCCACCATTTAAAGTTTAAATGGTGGAGGTATAAACCATATAGTGTCTGGAACATATACTCCCTTAAAACTAGCTTTACACAGTCAAAGAACGCCCCTTTTTTTCAGCAATCAATCTTTATTGCGGTTATGGCAACATTTACTACAGAAACAATTTTATTGCTCCCTCCTCTAAGCTACTTGCCATGATTGCTGTAACGTAAATACCTGCAAATGCGAAAAAAGAAAAAAATTATTAATGATAATCTCGGACTTCGAAGAAGGAGGAGATCGAAATTTGTCCGTGCAATCCTTGTAAATCTTCAACATCCCTAAGTACTCTAGTATCGCCCGGATTGCTATTGCTTTTTTAATTTGATGTTTTTCAATTCTAGCCTTGCAAGGCATCATGTAGGAAAACGCCACGCTAAATTCCAAGCGTGACCATAGCTTCAAGTAAAACTTACCTTATCTATTAATTTTCTGGTCCCCATTCTTCAGCCCAAGTTTCAAGCCCTCCTAGATGCAGGCACAGCGAACCCACTAGAGAGAGCATATACATCAAAACTTAATTAGTTACGAAGTTAATACCTGGCATACAAAAGTAAGGCATTAAGTTTTATTCATTCAAAGGCTTTATATAAATTTCTTTTAGGCTTGACAATGTATGCAAAGGAAAGCATAAGAGAAGTTCAAAATTGCAGTTTTGAGATTCCAAAGAGTTGCTTAATCGTTGGAATTGTCTTTAGATGTGTTGGATACCCGTCAATGGACGCCGCCATTTTGAAAACAACTCAGTAACCTGGTCGCACCCGCAAAGAGCGCGTTTTGGTTCATAGACAGCTACTGCTTTGCTTAGCACTTAAGTCATCCTTTGAGTCAAAAATGTCTTTCTGAACAGCACATATTTCCTCACTGGGTCACCAGAGTTAATAAAAAAAGAACTGAAAAAAGAAGCTGCGGATTGAAGCATCCATAATCGAGACAGTTTTCGAAAACCTAGTCTGCTTTTTGGAGAGAATAATCAAATAGAGTGATTTCTGAACGATACTTCTTCCCTAAGTTAAGTGTAAGTTTGCAGTTTCTGAGGAAATGCGGTACGTTGACTTGTTTTCTTGAAGAAAGAATATCTCATCTTGATGCAAGCCATAATCACTTCGGGGGATCGAAGACATCAAAACTTTATTTCTCGATGCGAATGCCCTTTATAAACATAGAAAAATTCCCCCTATGCACGATAAAATCAAAATATGTTTACACTACAGTAGAAATTCTGCAAATAATGACAATAATATAAACATTAAATTCATAAAATTACATCAGTCTTCATAGAAAAACAAAACCAAATAATTAGAATAGGCAATCCTTACATCGCTGCAAGGATTCCTGTCTCCTCTCGGTGGGAACGTCGCCTTGAGCAGATGAAAACAAGTAAGAATTTAGTACGCTCAGTTTCACAATGATTTGAGACTTGCGGACGAAAAGTAATATCAAACTCCACGAGATGAGCCTCGGCGAAGGACAAAATCATCGATTGTCTTACAGAGCTTTTGGTTAAATACAATACTAAAATGCACACGGCATTACCATAGCAAGATAGCAAGTCAATTATATACCTATTGTATTAATGATTCTTTATTTATTAAATGTTTTGAATTTATTCCCGTGTTTTTTTTCTTGGCTTCTCATTTTCAAACTGTCCCCTTCCCAGCCGTTCTTAGGATGTCACGCAAACCTCCAATCGAGTCTCTCTTAGGCCACCATAATTTTTCATCCCAAGCGTCTTTGCGCTCTTTTTGTGTCTTTGCCAGTCTGACGCACACGCCAAACCGTCTACCAAGGAGGTTTTATCCAAGTTATCATTTGTTAATCGATTAGCTATATAAGTGAATAAGGGACTCGAAAATGAATCCATAGAGGGAGCCAAACCCCCACCCCCCCTCTCCAAAGGAAACAGCGTAAACACGGAAAATAACTTTTTGCATAGACATAATCTTAAAATGAAGACATTACAATAGGCAAGCTTATAATAATGATATATAAATAAACTTCAAAATCATATCTATTTTATACAATTGGCAAAAACAAATTATTTTAATCAGTTACCTTGAAATCGCCTGAGAAATATTTTTCCATCGGCTGGCATTTCTTCTGAAAACGAGCAAGTAAGAATTTAGTAAGCTGAACTTTGCAGAGATGCAAAACTTGTAAACAAAATCTGATAGCAAAACCAATTGGGGCGAACCCTGGCAGAGGACAAAATGATCGATTTTCTTAACAGTACTTTGCAAATTTGGCGAATACATTCTTGCGAACCCAAACCTCAAGTTTGGTGTTAATCATTTATCATGTAGGTAATTCTTTATTAATGACATGCATGTTTTTTATGCATTCATTTATTTTTGACTGTCACTTTCACGCTAAGTTCTCATCGAGCTCCCAGTACGCTGCCATTATTTTCAGTCACAAGCCTCTCTGGTCTTTTCGCTCTTTTTCACGGCGGCATTCTTATAAAGTTTTAGAGCACATAATAAACCGCCCGCTTGACAGGCTGTACCCAAGATATTTATCATCAGTCTATAAGCCACGCAAGTGAATAAGAGGATGGACAACAAACCTTTTTCTTCCCTTCTCTGAGGCGCATCACCTGAAAACAAGAAAATAATAAATATAGAAGGTGAGCTTCGCAATGATACAGATTGGAGGTCACAAAACTCAAAACTCCATCGGATGAGCCTCGGTGAAAGACAAAATCAAAATCTGACGCACACGCCAAACCGCCCACTTAGGTTTTATTCCAGTCATCATATTTTAGTCTCTTAGCTTTTACAAGTGAATAAGGGACTCGAGAATGAACCCATGGTGGGAAACAACTCACTCCCCCCGGGAAACAATGTAAACACGGAAGATAACTTTTTACATAGGCATAATCTTGAAATGCTGACGTTAGGATAGGCAAGCTTAAGAAAATAATGTATAGATAAATATAAAAAACTTATCCAATTTACGTAAATAGAAAAAACAATTCATTTTAATTAGTAACCTTGATGTAATCCTCCTGGGGCCGGCATTTCTTCACCTGAAAACAAGCAAATAAGAATTTGGTAAGCTGAGTTTCACAGTGATGCAAGCCTTGTAGACAAAATCTGATAACAAAACCAACTGGGGCGAGCCCTGGCAGAGGACAAAATGATCGATTTTCTTAACAGTACTTTGCAAATTTGGCGGATACATTCTTGCGAATAACTCGCCTCCAAACCTCAAGCATGGTGTTAATCATTTATCAGGTAGGTGATTCTTTATTAATGACATGCATGTCTCTTATGCATTCCTTTATTTTGACTCTCATTTTCACGCAAAGTTCTTATGAAGCTCCTAGTACGCTGCCATTATTCTCAGTCCCAAGCCCCTCAGGTCTTTTTGCTCTTTTTCGCTGCGGCATTCTCATAAAATTTTGGAGCACATAATAAACCACCCGCCTGGCAGGCTTTATTCAAGATATTTATCTTTAGTCTATAGGCTACACAAGTGAATCAATAAGAGGATCGACAATAAACCTTTTTCTCTCCTTTTCTGGGACGCATCGCCTGAAAACGAGCAAATGATAAATTAACAAGGTGAGCTTCGCAATGATGCAATGATCCAAGACATGAAGACAAAATCTGGTGGCAAAAACCGCAAGGATAAGCCACGGCGGAGGAGAAAATGATCATTTGTCTTAACAGAGTTTTACAAATATGACTGAAACATATTTGCCAATGACTAATTCACATACCTAACATGTGGTGTAAAACCTCGGTGATATATGTGATTCTCTACTGAATGGTTTGAGTTAATGATCGACAACAAACCTTTTTCTTCCCTTTTCTCAGGTGCGTCACCTGAAGACAAGAGGCGAAAGACAAAGTTATCAACCGTCTTACAGAGCTTTTATTTAAAAAAAATTCTGAAATGTAACCGGCATTACGATACCATTAGGTTCTTGGCCACGGTAGGTCAAGCCGAGTTCTCATCGAGCGCCTATTACGCTGCCATTATTTTCAGTCCAAAGCCTCTCAGATCTTAGTGCTCTTTTTCGCGGCGGCATGCTTATAAAACTTTTGAGCACATAATAAACTGCCCGCTTGGCAGGCTCTATCCAAGATGGTTATCATTAGTCTATAAACTAGGCAAGTGAATCAATAAGAGGATCGACAATAAACCTTTTTCTCTCCTTTTCTGGGACGCATCGCCTGAAAACGAGCAAATGATAAATTAACAAGGTGAGCTTCGCAATATGTGATTCTCTACTAAATGATTTGAGTTAATGATCGACAACAAACCTTGTTCTTCCCTTTTCTCAGGTGCGTCACCTGAAAACAAGAGGCGAAAGACAAAGTTATCAACCGTCTTACAGAGCTTTTACTTAAAAACAATTCTGAAATGTAACCGGCATTACGATACCATTACGTTCTTGGCCACGGTAGGTCACGCCGAGTTCTTATCGAGCGCCTATTACGCTGCCATTATTTTCAGTCCAAAGCCTCTCAGATCTTAGTGCTCTTTTTCGCGGCGGCATGTTTATAAAACTTTTGAGCACATAATAAACTGCCCGCTTGGCAGGCTCTATCCAAGATAGTTATCATTAGTCTATAAACTAGGCAAGTGAATCAATAAGAGGATCGACAATAAACCTTTTTCTCTCCTTTTCTGGGACGCATCGCCTGAAAACGAGCAAATGATAAATTAACAAGGTGAGCTTCGCAATATGTGATTCTCGACTAAATGATTTGAGTTAATGATCGACAACAAACCTTTTTCTTCCCTTTTCTCAGGTGCGTCACCTGAAAACAAGAGGCGAAAGACAAAGTTATCAACCGTCTTACAGAGCTTTTACTTAAAAACAATTCTGAAATGTAACCGGCATTACGATGCCATTACGTTCTTGGCCACGGTATGTCACGCAGATTTCTCATCGAGCGCCTATTACGCTGCCATTATTTTCAGTCCAAAGCCTCTCAGATCTAAGCGCTCTTTTTCGCGGCGGCATTCTTCTAAAACTTTAGAGGACATAATAAACTGCCCGCTTGGCAGGCTCTATCCAAGATAGTTATCATTAGTCTATAAACTAGGCAAGTGAATCAATAAGAGGATCGACAATAAACCTTTTTCTCTCCTTTTCTGGGACGCATCGCCTGAAAACGAGCAAATGATAAATTAACAAGGTGAGCTTCGCAATATGTGATTCTCGACTAAATGATTTGAGTTAATGATCGACAACAAACCTTGTTCTTCCCTTTTCTCAGGTGCGTCACCTGAAAACAAGAGGCGAAAGACAAAGTTATCAACCGTCTTACAGAGCTTTTACTTAAAAACAATTCTGAAATGTAACCGGCATTACGATAGCAAGATAGCATGTCAGTTATACCTATTGTATTAGTGATTATTTTTTCATTGTATGTTTTGAGTTTATAGCCATGTTCTTTTTCTTGGCTTCTTATTTTCAAACTGTCCACTTCTCGGCTATTCTTAGGATGTCACGCAAAGTTCAATCGAGTTCCAATATAGCCACCATAATTTTCCATCCCAAGCGTCTTTGCGCTCTTTTTCGCGTCTTTGCAACTCTGACACACACGCCAAACACCTCACTCAGGAAGTTTTATTCCAATTATCATTTTTAGTCTATTAGCTATACAATTGAATATGAACCCATGGAGGGAACCAACCCCCCCAAGGAAACAGTGTAAACACGGGAAATAACTTTTTACATAGACATAATTTTAAAATGCAGACATTACAATAGGCAAGCTTAAGAAAATAGTATATAAATAAATATCAAAATCATATCTACTTTACATAAATATCAAAAACAAATCAATTTAATCAGTAACCTTGAAAATGTCTAAGGAATAATCCTCCTGGGGCCGGCATTTCTTTACCTGAAAACAAGCAAGTAAGAATTTAGTAAGCTGAATTTCGCAGTGATGCAAGACTTGTAGACAAAATTTGATAGCAAAACCAACTGGGGCGAGCCCTGGCAGAGGACAAAATGATCGATTTTCTTAACAGCACTTTGCAAATTTGGCGAATTCATTCTTGCGTATAACTCACCACCCAAACCTCAGGTATGGTGTTAATCATTTATCATGCAGGTGATTCTTTATTAATGACATGCATGTTTTTATACATTCATTTATTTTTGACTCTCATTTTCTTGCAAAGTTCTCATGGAGCCCCTTGTACGCTGCCATTATTTTCAGTCCCAAGCCTCTCTGATCTTTTCGCTCTTTTTCACGGCGGCATTCTTATAAAGCTTTAGAGCACATAATAAACCGCCCGCTTGACAGGCTGTATCCAAGATATTTATAATCAGTCTATAAGCTACGCAAGTGAATAAGAGGATGGACAACGAACCTTTTTCTTCCCTTCTCTGAGGCGCATCACCTGAAAACAAGAAAATAATAAATGTAGAAGGTGAGCTTCGCAATGACAGATTGGAGGTCAGAAAGCTCAAAACTCCATCGGATGAGCCTCGGTGAAAGACAAAAAATCAAAATCTGACGCACACGCCAAACCGCCCACTTAGGTTTTATTCCAGTCATCATATTTTAGTCTCTTAGCTTTTACAAGTGAATAAGGGACTCGAGAATGAACCCATGGTGGGAAACAACTCACTCCCCCCCGGGAAACAATGTAAACACGGAAGATAACTTTTTACATAGGCATAATCTTGAAATGCTGACGTTAGGATAGGCAAGCTTAAGAAAATAATGTATAAATAAATATAAAAACTTATCCAATTTACATAAATAGAAAAAACAATTCATTTTAATCAGTAACCTTGATATAATCCTCCTGGGGCCGGCATTTCTTCACCTGAAAACAAGCAAATAAGAATTTAGTAAGCTGAGTTTCACAGTGATGCAAGCCTTGTAGACAAAATCTGATAACAAAACCAACTAGGGCGAGCCCTGGCAGAGGACAAAATGATTGATTTTCTTAACAGTACTTTGCAAATTTGGCGAATACATTCTTACGAATAACTCGCCTCCAAACCTCAAGCATGGTGTTAATCATTTATCAAGTAGGTGATTCTTTATTAATGACATGCATGTTTTTATGCATTCCTTTATTTTGACTCTCATTTTCACGCAAAGTTCTTATGAAGCTCCTAGTACGCTGCCATTATTCTCAGTCCCAAGCCCCTCATGTCTTTTTACTCTTTTTCGCTGCGGCATTCTCATAAAATTTTGGAGCACATAATAAACCACCCGCTTGGCAGGCTTTATTCAAGATATTTATCTTTAGTCTATAAGCTACGCAAGTGAATCAATAAGAGGATCGACAATAAACCTTTTTCTCTCCTTTTCTGGGACGTATCGCCTGAAAACGAGCAAATGATAAATTAACAAGGTGAGCTTCGCAATGATGCAATAATCCAAGACTTGAAGACAAAATCTGGTGGCAAAAACCGCAAGGATAAGCCACGGCGGAGGGGAAAATGATCATTTGTCTAACAGAGTTTTACAAATATGACTGAAACATATTTGCCAATGACTAATTCACATACCTAACATGTGGTGTAAAACCTCGGTGATATATGTGATTCTCTACTGAATGGTTTAAGTTAATGATCGACAACAAACCTTTTTCTTCCCTTTTCTCAGGTGCGTCACCTGAAAACAAGAGGCGAAAGACAAAGTTATCAACCGTCTTACAGAGCTTTTACTTAAAAACAATTCTGAAATGTAACCGGCATTACGATACCATTACGTTCTTGGCCACGGTATGTCATGCAGAGTTCTCATCGAGCACCTATTACGCTGCCATTATTTTCAGTCCAAAGCCTCTCAGATCTTAGCGCTCTTTTTCGTGGCGGCATTCTTATAAAACTTTTGAGCACATAATAAACTGCACGCTTGGCAGGCTCTATCCAAGATAGTTATCATTAGCCTATAAATTACGCAAGTGAATCAATAAGAGAATCGACAATAAACCTTTTTCTCTCCTTTTCTGGGACGCATCGCCTGAAAACGAGCAAATGATAAATTAACAAGGTGAGCTTCGCAATATGTGATTCTCTACTGAATGGTTTGAGTTAATGATAGACAACAAACCTTGTTCTTCCCTTTTCTCAGGTGCGTCACCTGAAAACAAGAGGCGAAAGACAAAGTTATCAACCGTCTTACAGAGCTTTTACTTAAAAACAATTCTGAAATGTAACCGGCATTACGATGCCATTACGTTCTTGGCCACGGTATGTCACGCAGATTTCTCATCGAGCGCCTATTACGCTGCCATTATTTTCAGTCCAAAGCCTCTCAGATCTTAGCGCTCTTTTTCGTGGCGGCATTCTTATAAAACTTTTGAGCACATAATAAACTGCACGCTTGGCAGGCTCTATCCAAGATAGTTATCATTAGTCTATAAACTACGCAAGTGAATCAATAAGAGGATCGACAATAAACCTTTTTCTCTCCTTTTCTGGGACGCATCGCCTGAAAACGAGCAAATGATAAATTAACAAGGTGAGCTTCGCAATATGTGATTCTCTACTAAATGATTTGAGTTAATGATCGACAACAAACCTTGTTCTTCCCTTTTCTCAGGTGCGTCACCTGAAAACAAGAGGCGAAAGACAAAGTTATCAACCGTCTTACAGAGCTTTTACTTAAAAACAATTCTGAAATGTAACCGGCATTACGATAGCAAGATAGCATGTCAGTTATACCTATTGTATTAGTGATTATTTTTTCATTGAATGTTTTGAGTTTATTGCCATGTTTTTTTTCTTGGCTTCTTATTTTCAAACTGTCCACTTCTCGGCTATTCTTAGGATGTCACGCAAAGTTCAATCGAGTTCCAATATAGCCACCATAATTTTCCATCCCAAGCGTCTTTGCGCTCTTTTTCGCGTCTTTGCAACTCTGACACACACGCCAAACACCTCACTCAGGAAGTTTTATTCCAATTATCATTTTTAGTCTATTAGCTATACAATTGAATATGAACCCATGGAGGGAACCAACCCCCCCCCCAAGGAAACAGTGTAAACACGGGAAATAACTTTTTACATAGACATAATTTTAAAATGCAGACATTACAATAGGCAAGCTTAAGAAAATAGTATATAAATAAATATCAAAATCATATCTACTTTACATAAATATCAAAAACAAATCAATTTAATCAGTAACCTTGAAAATGTCTAAGGAATAATCCTCCTGGGGCCGGCATTTCTTTACCTGAAAACAAGCAAGTAAGAATTTAGTAAGCTGAATTTCGCAGTGATGCAAGACTTGTAGACAAAATTTGATAGCAAAACCAACTGGGGCGAGCCCTGGCAGAGGACAAAATGATCGATTTTCTTAACAGCACTTTTGCAAATTTGGCGAATTCATTCTTGCGTATAACTCACCACCCAAACCTCAGGTATGGTGTTAATCATTTATCATGCAGGTGATTCTTTATTAATGACATGCATGTTTTTATACATTCATTTATTTTTGACTCTCATTTTCTTGCAAAGTTCTCATGGAGCCCCTTGTACGCTGCCATTATTTTCAGTCCCAAGCCTCTCTGATCTTTTCGCTCTTTTTCACGGCGGCATTCTTATAAAGCTTTAGAGCACATAATAAACCGCCCGCTTGACAGGCTGTATCCAAGATATTTATAATCAGTCTATAAGCTACGCAAGTGAATAAGAGGATGGACAACGAACCTTTTTCTTCCCTTCTCTGAGGCGCATCACCTGAAAACAAGAAAATAATAAATGTAGAAGGTGAGCTTCGCAATGACAGATTGGAGGTCAGAAAGCTCAAAACTCCATCGGATGAGCCTCGGTGAAAGACAAAATCAAAATCTGACGCACACGCCAAACCGCCCACTTAGGTTTTATTCCAGTCATCATATTTTAGTCTCTTAGCTTTTACAAGTGAATAAGGGACTCGAGAATGAACCCATGGTGGGAAACAACTCACTCCCCCCCGGGAAACAATGTAAACACGGAAGATAACTTTTTACATAGGCATAATCTTGAAATGCTGACGTTAGGATAGGCAAGCTTAAGAAAATAATGTATAAATAAATATAAAAAACTTATCCAATTTACATAAATAGAAAAAACAATTCATTTTAATCAGTAACCTTGATATAATCCTCCTGGGGCCGGCATTTCTTCACCTGAAAACAAGCAAATAAGAATTTAGTAAGCTGAGTTTCACAGTGATGCAAGCCTTGTAGACAAAATCTGATAACAAAACCAACTAGGGCGAGCCCTGGCAGAGGACAAAATGATTGATTTTCTTAACAGTACTTTGCAAATTTGGCGAATACATTCTTACGAATAACTCGCCTCCAAACCTCAAGCATGGTGTTAATCATTTATCAAGTAGGTGATTCTTTATTAATGACATGCATGTTTTTATGCATTCCTTTATTTTGACTCTCATTTTCACGCAAAGTTCTTATGAAGCTCCTAGTACGCTGCCATTATTCTCAGTCCCAAGCCCCTCATGTCTTTTTACTCTTTTTCGCTGCGGCATTCTCATAAAATTTTGGAGCACATAATAAACCACCCGCTTGGCAGGCTTTATTCAAGATATTTATCTTTAGTCTATAAGCTACGCAAGTGAATCAATAAGAGGATCGACAATAAACCTTTTTCTCTCCTTTTCTGGGACGTATCGCCTGAAAACGAGCAAATGATAAATTAACAAGGTGAGCTTCGCAATGATGCAATAATCCAAGACTTGAAGACAAAATCTGGTGGCAAAAACCGCAAGGATAAGCCACGGCGGAGGGGAAAATGATCATTTGTCTAACAGAGTTTTACAAATATGACTGAAACATATTTGCCAATGACTAATTCACATACCTAACATGTGGTGTAAAACCTCGGTGATATATGTGATTCTCTACTGAATGGTTTAAGTTAATGATCGACAACAAACCTTTTTCTTCCCTTTTCTCAGGTGCGTCACCTGAAAACAAGAGGCGAAAGACAAAGTTATCAACTGTCTTACAGAGCTTTTACTTAAAAAAAATTCTGAAATGTAACCGGCATTACGATACCATTACGTTCTTGGCCACGGTATGTCACGCAGATTTCTCATCGAGCGCCTATTACGCTGCCATTATTTTCAGTCCAAAGCCTCTCAGATCTTAGCGCTCTTTTTCGTGGCGGCATTCTTATAAAACTTTTGAGCACATAATAAACTGCACGCTTGGCAGGCTCTATCCAAGATAGTTATCATTAGTCTATAAGCTACGCAAGTGAATCAATAAGAGGATCGACAATAAACCTTTTTCTCTCCTTTTCTGGGACGCATCGCCTGAAAACGAGCAAATGATAAATTAACAAGGTGAGCTTCGCAATATGTGATTCTCTACTGAATGGTTTGAGTTAATGATCGACAACAAACCTTGTTCTTCCCTTTTCTCAGGTGCGTCACCTGAAAACAAGAGGCGAAAGACAAAGTTATCAACCGTCTTACAGAGCTTTTACTTAAAAACAATTCTGAAATGTAACCGGCATTACGATACCATTACGTTCTTGGCCACGGTATGTCACGCAGATTTCTCATCGAGCGCCTATTACGCTGCCATTATTTTCAGTCCAAAGCCTCTCAGATCTTAGCGCTCTTTTTCGTGGCGGCATTCTTATAAAGCTTTTGAGCACATAATAAACTGCACGCTTGGCAGGCTCTATCCAAGATAGTTATCATTAGTTTATAAGCTACGCAAGTGAATCAATAAGAGGATCGACAATAAACCTTTTTCTCTCCTTTTCTGGGACGCATCGCCTGAAAACGAGCAAATGATAAATTAACAAGGTGAGCTTCGCAATATGTGATTCTCTACTGAATGGTTTGAGTTA